AGTACAGAGCTCTCACTGTTCCAGAACTGACACAACAGATGTTTGATGCTAAGAACATGATGGCAGCTTGCGATCCTCGTCACGGCAGATACCTCACAGTTGCTTGTATGTTCCGTGGCCGTATGTCAATGAAGGAGGTTGATGAACAAATGTTGAACGTACAGAACAAAAACAGCAGCTACTTCGTTGAATGGATCCCTAACAACGTCAAGACAGCCGTCTGTGATATTCCACCACGTGGTCTTAAGATGTCTGCCACATTTATTGGTAACAGCACTGCCATCCAGGAACTCTTTAAGAGAATCTCAGAACAATTTACCGCTATGTTCCGTCGTAAGGCTTTCTTGCATTGGTACACTGGCGAGGGTATGGACGAGATGGAATTCACAGAAGCCGAATCCAACATGAACGATTTGGTCTCAGAATACCAACAATACCAGGATGCAACAGCAGAAGAGGAAGGAGAATTCGAAGAGGAAGAAGGAGAAGAGGAAGCTTAAACATTTCCTCCAGCTCAATGAACTTTAAAAAAAAAAGTTATTACAAAATGTTTGGATACAAACAAACACTTGTTAAACTTCAGTTATCTATTGAAAACTTTACACCCATAATGATATTAAATTATTTGTTGAAACAATAAAGTTTACTTATTATTATTACTTTGTCATAAATTTAAACTATAAAGCATAGTTTTGTGTATTCAAAAGGCCCCGACATGACAAAATGTGAAACAATTATAAAGTACAAAAAAAGTGAGATAATATAAAAATAAGGACATTCGGTATGATTGCCATTGAGACAACTATCAACCATAGTTCAAATGACGAAGATAAACGCTATTAAAAGTCACCGTACGGACTTCGACACACACACACAAAAAAAGCCACACCGTATAGTCGGCTTAAAAAGGCCTAGACATGAAAATGTGAAACAATATAAAGCGGAAAACTAAAGGCCTTCTCTATAGACATTACATGGACACAACACTATACCAAAATTAACTCGGGTCAGCTTAGACACTGCTCTAAACATGTTGATTAAAGTGAATATTTAGAGCTGTTTAGAGAAAATTTCGTAATTGTCTCAATATATATATATAATTGCGGTTTAGTATATAACATTTCATAGGAAGTACAGCAGTCGATATTAGAGCATACCATTGCATGGTTCTGTATCAATAGATAAGTTGCCTTAGCTTGTCTTCAGGGTATTTTTTTTATAACGGTACATATAGTTATTGACTTATTTGTCTGTTTATTATACCTGGGAATCTGGGAGTGGCTGCAACACCAATGTGTGTCCGTCCGTTCGTCCGGTGGTCCAACAAATTTTTCTTTCTTATCTGAGAAACTACTTTACGAAAAGACTTCGTATTTGGTCAGCAGCTTTACAACAATGAGCTGCAACTTGTGAACACTTTACTGGTCTATCAGATACTTAATTCCGGTGTGTCGATACTTCGATTTGATTTTTTCTCTCAATATGTCCGGTTTATGACGTCTTTACACTAAATCCATTGGATGTTGGATGTGTTCTTATTGATAATTTAGTCTTAGATGCATGATTTTTTTTTAATAGTTGTTAGTGGCTTTGAACTAGCTGTCAGTGACGGTCAATAACTGCGAGTACTCTCATATCTGTACTAAGTGTCTTTTTGTTGTTGGGATATACAAGTACCCGGCCACTCGGCTACCATATTTAAACCCGCCACATTTTGTATGTATGTGCCTGTTCAAAGTCAGGCGCCTGTAATTCAGTGGTTGTCGTTTGTTGATGTGTGACATATTTGTTTTTCGTTCATTTTTTTGTACATAAATTAGGCCGTTAGTTTTCTCGTTTGAATTGTTTTACATTTGTCATTTCGGGGCCTTTTATAGCAGACTATGTGGTATGGGCTTTGCTCATTGTTGAAGGCCGTACGGTGACTTATAGTTGTTAATTTTTGTGTCATTTGGTCTCTTGTGGAAAGTTGTCTCGTTAGCAATCATACAACATCTTTTTTTATATATACATTCCGCCAAAAGTTAAGCACCACCTAAATATAACTGGCAATATTTTTTTTAACTATTGCGAAAAAAATATTTATGTTTGGTGTTATGAATTGCCTATAACATCCACTACGAAAATTCATTACGACCAAAAAAAAAAAAATTCGATCAACACGTCAAGCAATTTTTTATTAAAGGTCATCTGCACTTTTTCGAATACACTGTTTCAATGCCTTTAAATCATCTTCCTACTGCCCCGCGTACAGGTGAAATTTAACCTTCACCAAGTCACTGTAAAATATGGCAGGGGTAAGTTATATGTGACTGAACCTTGACAAGCAATTGACATGTCAAATGCCGGTAGGAGCACTAGTTGCATAGGTAACCATTTCAATGTTAAACACACCGTCATTGTCAGATTTTTACAACGTCATGTTGACACAGGAACTGTAAATGATAGACCAAGGTCCGAAAGACCCCGTTTAACTACCGATCGTGATGACAGACTCCTTATTGGTTGCGCTAAAGCCAACCCATTTACTCCTGCCCCACAACTTAAGACACCACTGGCGTCAAGGTGGTCATGTTAGTGTTCGAACATTGGTCTGCCGACTTCATAGAGGCTACCTAAGAGCACGTCGTGTTGTCAAGAGACCTGTCCTAACAGCCAGGCACCGTATAATCAGGTTTCAAAGGGCTAATGACCATCGACGCTGGAACATGAGAAGCTGGCAAAATGTTCATTGGTCAAATGAGAGTCAGTTTCTGTTACGACCAATAGACGGCAGAATACGAGTTTGCCGTGGAAATAAAACTGCTAATGACCAAAACCAACATTTGCCCAACGACTGCATACGTTGCTGGTGGTGTTACAGTATGGGGTTTCTTATCATACTGTTGTAAGGTGGGTATGCATATTCTGCAGGGTAACATGAACGGACAGACATACAGGGATTTGATGCTTAGAAACATTGTGGTCCCTCATTTTGATAATCATCCACTTGCTTCAAGACCCTTGTGCATTTACGATAATGCTAGATCACACAGGGCAAGGATTGTAACCGAGTACAAAGAGTACAAAGAGCAAGAAGCCATTGACACTATCTTTTAGCCTTCCATGTCTCCAGACATGAACCCTATCGAACATGTCTGGGAAGCCATTTGCAGAAATCTCAATCGCAGAGATCCACCTTTGCAAAATCTTAGCGATTTAAGAAGCGCAATTGTTGCTGAATGGAATAAATTTGCTCAACTAAAGTTCAGAAGGCTTGTACAGAGTATGAGACTCCGTGTTATGGAACTGTACCGGAAGAGAGGGTGTTACACATCCTATTGACTCAAATATTGTCATTAAATTTGCCGAACATACCAAAGATTATTTGTAGAGACTTTTAATGATATTGGGTGATTAATTGTTGTAAAAAAATAAAATCACAGTGAAACTTTAATTCCGTTTCTGATTTGTGTAATTTTCACTATTTCTATGAACGCAAATTTCAAATGCATAGAACCTGCATACGTGAACAAACTTAAGTCTGCTGTTTGTTTATGGTATATTTTAGCAAAATTGCTACATGAATATTTTCTCTTTTTCGAGGATTAACTGATTTTTTTAAATGAAAAAAATTTCGATGCAATAAAAATAGGTGGTGCATAACTTTTGGCGGACTGTATATATAGGGGATAAGCTTAGCGCAAGAACGGGTGCGTTTTTGTTTTGGTCTGTTATACGTACGGGGCTTAAAACTGTTTTCTTAACTGAGAGTTCTTCTTCATACACACACATATATATATATATATATATATATATATATATTCCACTGGGTTAAATTCTAAAAATGCCGTTAAATTTTTTAATGTACCTATTCAAATTCAGGAACATGCATCTTTATGTATTATGTTATTTTGTCATTTTGTTGATAGTATCTGTTAAATTTATTCGTACGATTCAGAGTTTGCCAAATGGTGTAGATACTATATTTTGGTCAAGACAGTTCGTTGAATTATTTATTGGGCTTTTTGTGTAGTTGGGTTTCTGTCTCGTCGACTTATTATTATTTACATATCTTTTATTCATTTCCTATATGAAATAAAACACATACAATACTTTGAGTACAGACAAACCTGCGCATCTGGAAAAGTTTTAAGGTTCACAGTTTAAATCACCAATTATTGTCAAGTATCTATTGTCCATGTCAATCAATACAGCTCACTCCAATTATTACCTGTGGGGAAGTTATCAAACCTCTTTTCCAACTTCTTTAACTTTTGCACCTTCTGGAAGAAGTAAAAAAAGTGCACTGTAAAATCCGGTAAAGTTTTTAATTTTCTTAAACATAAAATGTAATTGAATTTTAGTTATCTAGGGCATCAGTGGCGGATTCACCGGAACCCGTAAGTCGAGAGAATTCTATGAGACTGTCATGCAAGTGAAAGGTTTAGCTAGCTATAAAACCAGGTTTAATCCACCATGTTCTACACTCTCACCTTTTTTTAAACGATCAATGCATTTGAATGGGGACATATAGTTGGAACCCCCCTTTCTCCTGGGGTGGGAACACCCCCCGCCCCCTTTAAAAATGGCTGGATCCGCCCCTGGGCATGCAATGTTCTCATTCACAGCAGCCTTTACGATGTTTCGCTTATTTTTTGTTTCCTTATTCAATCTGCTTTAAATTAAGGTGTTACAAAGACTTCGTTTTTTACCGTTAGCTAATTCACAATTGAATAATTAGCTATTGAAAAGAAAATAAACAAACCGTATATTTAATCATAATTATTATGTGTTGTACCTATTCATCTATCAATAGAAATTATATAATGAGTATTTACCCCCGAGCAGAAATATCTTTTCTTAAATAATTAGAACGTGATTTTTTGAGCCGTTAATAACAGTTATTGAAATTTTATGAGTTTTAACTTGTTTGTTCGATATTTCCTTCGGCAATGGAAAATATCTTTAAGTGAAATCAACCAATAAAAACGATCGTCTGCCCGTTGCTAGTATACTTACACCCGGAACCCCTCGTATAAAAATAGGTTGACCACTCTTCGTTTTCAATTAAACAATAACATTTAAATAGCAACCACCGTGTGTAGTAGACGTGAACTTTATTAACGAAAATGAGGGAAATCGTACATTTACAAGCCGGACAATGCGGAAACCAAATTGGTGCCAAGGTAAGTCTTATTTGACGGGGAAAACGCATGAAATATGTAGATTTCCATCGAAATATTGAAAATCGATTATCCAGTTTAAGCAGAATGCGGTTAAAAATGGCGCTCTTGACTACACTATCGATTTTTAACAGAATTGTGTATAATATATGAATAATATAATTTTTGAGTCTATAGAATCTAAAATGTTAAAGAAGAGAATACGTTGATTTGAGGTATTGAATAATTAATGTATAAATCATTATTTCATAATTGGCTTTAGGAGTAAAACTAGCAAAATGCACAAAATTTTAATCTATTTTTTTATGATTATTTTCTACAATATAGAAGAAGATTACGTCATTGCTGTTGTCATGTAGTCTTTCCAAGTGTGTATTTTAAGTAAATAACCAAGTCTAAATTGAAAACAACGTTCATAAGTTAAGCTTTTTCAACTGATTTTTATAGTTCGTTCTTATGTTGTACTGTTACACCACTGTCCCAGGTTAGGGGGAGGGTTGGGATACCGCTATAATGTTTAACCCCGCCACATTCTGTATGTATGTGCCTGTCCCAAGTCAGGAGCCTGTAATTCAGTGGTTGTCGTTTGTTGATGTGTTATATATCTGTTTTTCGTTCATGTTTTTGTACATAAATTAGGCCGTTAGTTTTCTCGTTTGAATTGTTTTACATTTGTCATTTCGGGGCCTTTTATAGCTGACTATGCGGTATGGGCATTGCTCATTGTTGAAACCGTTCGGTGACCTATAGTTGTTAATTTCTGTGTCATTTGCTCTCTTGTGGAGAGTTGTCTCATTGACCATCATACCACATCTTCTTTTTTATAATCAATTCTATGATTGCGTTGGATAAAAACCACAATTTTCATACACGTGCATGCAAAACAAATTTCTTGGTAGAGGGGTCTAAATACAACACAAACTACATTTTCCAAAAGACAAAAAAAGTGAAAAAGTATATTTTAACAAAACGCATTTGACTATCAGGTCGACTATGTTCTTAACTAATTCTATGTTCAGCAGATTAACATTACTAATGCATGGACTTTTTACATGTTCTACTAACGTTGTCCAGTTTGTACCTCCTTGGCCCCTCTCCCCACCCGCCAATTTTTTTTTTAAATCCCGAATCCGCGTAGACCTGTGCAGCATTTAACGAGATCATCTGTCGGTGTGACTAATTATTGATCGTTTGCGAGCGATTAGATAAGTCAATAGCGAATGAAACCGTAAATAGTAACTATTTATCAAAGAATTTATATTTAAAAGTAAACAGCATATTTTTATTAACTAATTTATTTTGTTTACTATTTTTAATTATTCTATAAATTTTATTATGGAAATGCTCTGTCAACCACATATTTTTTTTTTAAACCTTCAAGTTTGTTTTTTTGGGTTGTTTTTTTTTTTTTTGCCAGTATTTTAAGAAGAATATTGATGCGATTTAGTGTAATATGTTTATAACTTTGTAATATATTTTGACAGTGTCTCATAAGTCAATTTGTTTGGCTGGGTGTTGATTATTTTAAATATTGCATATGTTTAATTGTATATTGTTCAACTGTTAATCACTATGTGACACTTTAATAAATAATTTATGTTTATTATAATTATGTAATCTTGAATGATACAAAATTAAAGAAAAAAGTTGTCTGATGTGAACGAAAGGTTCTTAAGGCGGTACCAAACACCTTGACTCAAATAAATTGGCTCGTTTAATTTTCATAAAATTTTGACAAAATATCAAATATTTACTTTGACCCTTTGACAAAAATATAAAAATTTCAAAAAACTTTATCGGAAAAAATTCATTGCAGTTTGGCAAACACTAATTTTGATCATTAGGAAGCTTTAATATTTCCTTAACAATAGTACGTGATAAAAACGTTCAGCTGATTTTTTACAGAGTTATCTCCCTGTAGTATGCACCTTAATATGGACATGTCAACAAGAAAGCAACCCAACAGGGAAACAATTTTGAAATTGTGTTGGTTGGAACGTTTGTTCAATATAATGACCTACAACCAATATTTCAGTAATTTCGATTTTGTCTAGTGCGACTCCGATCTTTTTTTATTGGTGTCATTACACATGTTACATGACGCTAAAAGGAAATATTTATCTGTACTATTGTATTCTATTGTTTACTCTTTTTTATTGTAGTTCTGGGAAGTTATCTCAGATGAGCACGGTATCGACCCCACAGGAACCTACCATGGAGATTCAGATTTACAGTTAGAACGAATCAACGTCTACTATAACGAAGCTACAGGTATGAAACCCAATAAAAAATTATAGGAAAAAACTCGTACGTCAAAAAGCCAAAAAAGAAATGAAATAAAAAAAAAAAACTTCGTTAGGAGTACACGCTCATTGATAGACCCGCTAACAGAGCGTTTAATTTTCGTGAGAAGTGTTCTGCGTATAAAACTTTAAATACAATCCTACTTTGAGTTTAATTTTCTCAATGCATATTTTAATTGTTCGAAAAATTGAACAAAAGGTGCATGCTACAAAAATAAAACTTTCAGTTTAAGTAAAACAGGACAAAATTAGAAAAAAAAAGATATATATACAGTCACGTTATGCATGCCATTATGAAACCTGGAACAATTAACATGATTTAATTGTTGTCCTTTTTTTACAGGTGGAAAATATGTACCACGTGCTGTTTTGGTCGATTTGGAGCCTGGTACAATGGACTCTGTCCGATCTGGACCATTTGGTCAAATTTTTAGACCAGACAACTTTGTTTTCGGACAGAGTGGTGCAGGAAACAACTGGGCCAAAGGACATTACACAGAGGGTGCTGAACTTGTAGACTCCGTTCTCGATGTTGTCAGGAAAGAGGCAGAAAGCTGTGATTGTCTTCAGGGATTCCAACTTACACACTCACTTGGTGGTGGCACCGGATCAGGAATGGGAACACTACTCATCTCCAAAATTCGTGAAGAATACCCAGACAGAATAATGAACACATTTTCAGTTGTACCATCACCAAAAGTAAGTTTTCGTTAGCAAAAATGCAAATTCGTTTTTTTTTAAATTTGATACCGATCTGATTTAACCGTCATGTGACCAGTAAGTTCGAATTAAACAGAAGTATGTATGAAAGTTGTAGCGATTATATATGATAAATTTATTCCTTAGGTTCATTGGTCAAATAATGAAGGATAAAAACCAAATAGTACCATAATGACTGTTCCTATTATTTATATTGTTTACTCCATTCTTTTTCAGGTATCAGACACAGTCGTTGAACCATACAATGCCACACTCTCTGTACATCAACTGGTAGAAAACACAGATGAAACATACTGTATCGACAACGAGGCTCTATACGATATTTGCTTCAGAACCCTAAAACTTACTACACCAACATACGGGGATCTTAACCATCTTGTATCCGCAACAATGTCAGGTGTCACAACTTGTCTGCGATTCCCAGGTCAGTTGAATGCTGATCTTCGTAAATTGGCAGTCAACATGGTACCATTCCCACGTCTCCATTTCTTCATGCCAGGATTCGCACCCCTGACATCACGTGGTAGCCAACAGTACAGAGCTCTAACTGTTCCAGAACTTACTCAGCAGATGTTCGATGCTAAGAACATGATGGCAGCTTGCGATCCTCGTCACGGCAGATACCTCACAGTTGCTTGTATGTTCCGTGGCCGTATGTCAATGAAGGAGGTTGATGAACAAATGTTGAACGTACAGAACAAAAACAGCAGCTACTTCGTTGAATGGATTCCCAACAACGTCAAGACAGCCGTCTGTGACATTCCACCACGTGGTCTCAAGATGTCTGCCACATTTATTGGTAACAGCACTGCCATCCAGGAACTCTTTAAGAGAATCTCAGAACAATTCACCGCTATGTTCCGTCGTAAGGCTTTCTTGCATTGGTACACTGGCGAGGGTATGGACGAGATGGAATTCACAGAAGCCGAATCCAACATGAACGATTTGGTCTCAGAATACCAACAATACCAGGATGCAACAGCAGAAGAGGAAGGAGAATTCGAAGAGGAAGAAGGAGAAGAGGAAGCTTAAACATTTCCTCCAGCTCAATGAACTTTAAACTGTTACTTTCAATCTCTTATCTTGACAAATCTTGAAATCCTACATTCAATCATGAACTTTGAACTCTTGTCTGTTGTTATGAACGATTTGGTCTCAGAATACCAATAATACCAGGATGCAACAGCAGAAGAGAAAGGAGAATTCGAAGAAGAGGAAGAAGGAGAACAAGAATAATTTTAAGAGAGAAACTAAAGAATAATTTACTGAACAATACTAAATCATTTGTTTTAAAAAGCGCAAAATGAAAAAAAAGTCATTAAAAAATGTTTGGATACAAACAAACTCTTGTTAACCTTCACCTATCTATTGAAAACTTTACACCATATATAATGATATTAAATTATTTGCTAAAAACATGAAGTTGTTGTCATTACTTTAGCATAAATCTAAACATTATTGTTAAACGATATGTAGCATGAAACAGTTCAAACGTAAATAAAATAACGGCCTGATGTGTGCCAAAACAATAAACGAAAATCAAATATAACAGACAGCAACCCAGGACAATCACTGATTTACAAGCTCCTGATTAACAGCCTCTCAAAACCTGGGACAGTGGTCTATCAGAACAACATAAGAACAATATGTAAAATTCAGTTGTAAAAGGATTGATACAGCAGATTGTCACAAAGCCCAAAAACAACTATCATAACTACAAAAGACACAACGCACCGCGGTCAAAGAGTTCTCGCTATTTCTGTAAGCTAATCCAAAGCAAATACAGTTGTCATATGAGTCATTATATTGTTGGTTTAGTGCTTTCTAGTCGGTTCTTGGGACGATTTTTCAATGGCTATATGGTCTTTATCATGTGACTTAGCTTAACACTTACAAAGTGATTATTTAGTATACTTTTGTCAAGCCTGGTCTGGTAAATAGTTGTCTCATTTGCAATCATACCACATCTCCTTATTTTTATATTAACAAAAAGTTATATAGTTCATTATTTTGTCATTTGCTTGTCTTTGCATTTATGAATGGACTCCCAAGTATTAAAACTTATGTTTTCTTGTGTCGCTTAAAACGAATGTAAAAGAAGGCAAGACATATACGGATGTTAATCTCACGGAGACGTAAACATGTTGAGTAAAGCTCCAGTCATTCTTCAGTGATTCCCTATATATCAACCAAATTTTTCCCACGAAAGGGGGGGGGGGAGGGCCTGGGCCCCCCTGGATCCGCCTATGGATACAGATGCCTTATAGTCTGAATTGTCCGTCTTGTCTTTTTCAGTTGTCCTTGATCTCGTTTTCATGACCTAGTGACTGTATACAAAACTTAACTTTTAATCACTGTGACTTGACTTTTTGAGTTATATAGGCTTGTAGGACAGCTGTATGTTGGTATATATAAGCGCTGCGATATATACATGTCAACTTACATAGAAGCGTTATCTTTTATCAGCGAAATATTTTGGCAAATACAAAATAGTACAGCGATTCATATTGCCATACAAAAGCAGTGATAAGGTATCATTTTGATGACACACAAATAAACATAATTAACATTTTATTCCAAATCCATAATTACAACTACACATCTCCTGAAAGTGTTACTGCATCTGGAAAATTTGAGATATATAATGTCACTTTTTCCTTTTTTTTTATCAAAACTAATTGCTCTTTTTAAAACAAGGGAACATATATTTTATTTATTTATTACTTTTATGTAAGTCCGATGTAGTCGTCTCATATCTTCGGAGATGACGCTCCTCAGATATGAGAAAATTAAAAATCTTGGTTTGTTTGACCTTGACCTCATTTTCGTTGTTCATTGATCAACTTTAAGAAACTTTAGAGCATGCTTGTAATTTTTTCATGTCCATAAGACAGCTAGGGTTCACAATACATTGGCCTCATTTTGATTGTTCGTTGGTCAACATAAAGTTTTTATTATCAGGTCAATTAGCAGATACGTAATGAGTGTAAAGAATAATTGTGAGGTGTACATGTCTAGTCCGCCTGACTGTGCTCGTCAGTGATCTGACATCATCTGCATGGTTCTTTGAAGAACGTTACGTTTTAGTGATAGGGTCTCTATACGTTGATGTACTAGGTACAATACATTAGGCGAATAAAATAATCGTAAGGTGTGCATGTTTGTCAGACAGATTTCCTGTGACCTTTACATTATTTTCATTGTTCCTAATCAATACTACGTTATTGGTGATAAGATTATTTTTCGGTACCTGTAAAAATTGTGTCAAATATGTATGGTCTACAGAATGAATGTATTAAAGGGGTACTTAGGGGTTTACTAGACATTGTTGACCTCATTCAATGGTTCAATTGATAAACTTTAATTTTTATGATTACACCAGATTCTCATCTACTGTAACCATGGTAACTAGATTTGTTGTATAGAATCATTGTAATTAAGGTGTACATTAAAAAATAAGAAGATGTGGTATAGTTGCCAGTGAGACAACTCTCCGCCAGAAAAAAATGACATAGTATAGTAAGCAGCTATAGCTATGTCACCGTACGGCCTTCAACAATGAGCAATAACCCATGTCGCAAGGCAAGCTATAAAATATACGACAAATGTAAATCAATTGAAACGAGAAAACTTACAGCCTAATTTATGGACAAAACAAATATCAATCTGATAAGGTGCATCTTACTTTTACTATATTTTCACGGATACGTTATAATGATACCTGTAGTAGGACCTGGTTTTCAGAGACTTTTACCACAAAATTCAGTCATAATCTGTAAAGAAGGTGAGACATTTCAGTGCGTCAATATAAAAAAGAAGATGTGGTATGATTGCCAATGACACAGAAATTAACAGCTATAGGTCACCGTACGGCCTTCAACAATGAACAAAGCCAATACCGCATAGTCAGCTATAAAAGGCCCCAAAATCACAAATGTAAAACAATTCAAACGAAAAAACTAACGGACTAATTGATGTACAAAAAATTGAACGGAAAAACAAATATGTAACACAGTAACAAACGACAACCACTGACTCACAGGCTCCTGGCTTGGGACAGGCACATACATACGGGATCCCAACCCTCCCCCTAACCTGGGACAGTGGTGTCAAGTTGTTATTCTCTATTCTTTTTTATTTGTTAATCCCATTCAAACCCTCATACATTTTTTTTTACTTTATTGAAAAGATGATGATGATGGATGGCTGTTTAACGTCCAGCGGCAAATTTAATGCATATTCAGGACGAAAACATGTTAATATGATATGAATATTAACCTGCTTTTATGACTAGACCGACGCACTGATTCGGATTTTGAACGTGCTAGTTCACAAGGTAACAGTCCACAGGAAGACATGTCACCACACCCGGACACATTGTTCTGACTTCTAGCCGACTAGTCTTTTTGTTACTCCTTGATGCCGCGTGCTAAGTGGAGGAGCGGCCGTTTAAAACCAATTTTAAAGTCTTTGGTTTGACCCTGCCGTGGTTCGAAACGACGACTTCGCGCATTCGAGGCGAACATGCTACAATGAGACCAACGAGGCTGTATCTTTATTGAAAAGCACTGTACGCCCATTTATTAAAAGTAACGAATACCAAAAGTTTATATATAAGGAAAAATTTGAAGCAATTGATATATTCGATCTTAAAGAATGCTAGAATTTGAGTATAGTCAGCCCATTTAAGAAAACTTGCACTAAATAATTAGAAGTTGTATGTTTTAAAGGGGGATAAACAATACAACCATGCATAAATATTTTGTTAATTAGTTAAAATTGAATAAATAAAATGACTTAAGTTAGTTCTAATACATGTAATTACCCTAATTGACTATCTATGTCAATCTTTTAATCATATTTAGAAATGAAAAGTTCCTGATAACACTTTTATTAGGATTTGAGCACGTCTATCTTTTAAATAGATTAAAAATGGCAGGCGAAATTAGTTAAGTGACAATTTGAAATATACAATACGAACCAAAAGAACAGAAAACCTAAGGAAATCGCGTGAACTAGATTTATCTGTTGATCCAGGACACATTACAGGGGCGGATCCAGCCATTTATAAAAGGGGGGGAGGGTTCCTAACCCAGGATAAAGGGGGGGGGGGGTCCAACTATATGTTCCCATTCAAATGCATTGATCGTCCAAAAAAAGGGGGGTTCCAACCCCCGGAACCAACCCCCCCCCCCCCCCCCCCCCCCCCCCCCCCCCGTGGATCCGCCACTGCATTATTCTGACTCCTTAAATCTAACAAGATTTATAGGATATTTTTCGTTACTATACTGCAGCATGTTCATTTAAAACGGGTAATAATTTATAGTAACATGCACCCAGAGCATGGTCTGGATTAGTGAAATAAAGTATTTAGTAAAAAGAATGTGCCTATAAATATTTATATACAATTTTCTTGATCAAATTTATTGAAGTTTCTATATTTTATTGTGACATGCTTATCTACTGATGTTCTGAAAGCAGGCTTTTGGTGGTAAAACTTACAGGGTAATGATCTCCCGGACAATAGACAGGAAGGGACATTTACATCTGTAATTTCCCCAGACTGTGTAGAATATAAACGATATATAAGTGTGACACTGTCTTTTGTACATCTCGTTGATTCATTGACTAATTGAAAAATATTATAAACCGACAAAATGCATTCCCATTTCTTATGCGACGGCTGTCTTGTTGTATGTTATACCGATATCATAAATACCATCACTTTTTCCTAATTCGTTATCATGATATATAATTATGATTAGTTTATTTTGTACATGCTTTTCTGTATCTTATTTGTTCCACAGAGTATTAAATAAGGAAAAAGTGAACGCTTTATTGTGTTCCGGGGAAAGAAACCTCATATTCAAGCTGGCTAGATCCGCGAAATGACCGAACTCGCAGTTACGAAAAGATAGTTCAAAGTCTAATTTCATCTACTACAAAAAGTACGTGCTCTCTGACTCATACTCATCAATACTCGGACCGAGTAAGAGATATACATATAAAAAAAGAATATGTCGCATGATTGCCAATGAGACAGCTCTTCACAAGCTTAAGAGACCAAATGACACAGAAGTCAACAACTATAGGTCACCCTACGGCCTTCAACAATGAGCAAAGCCCATACCGCATAGTCAGCTATAAAAGGCCCCGAAATGACAAATGTAAAACAATTCAAACGAGAAAACTAACGGCCTAATTTATGTACAAAAAAATGAACGAAAAACAAATATGTAACACAGCAACAAACGACAACCACTGAATTACAGGCTCCTGGCTTGGGACAGGCACATACATACAGAATGTGGCGGGGTTAAACATGTTAGCGGGATCCTAATCCTACCCATAACCTGGGACAGTGGTGTAACAGTACAATATAAGAACGAACTATAAAAATCAGTCGAAAAAAGCTTAACTCTTTTTTTTTTAAAACATATACTTTATTTCATTAAAGGTGTGCGTAAATCTTTTAAGGATTTAAGAAAAAAGCTTAACTCATCAGATGGATACAAATAGAAAAACATCTAACAAAAACACAGAGTGGACGTGGCCGGGTACTTGTCAAATTGTGAAACAGACAATATAATTGAAGGCAAATAATAAACAACAATAGAGGGCTTAAAGTACCAGACAGCAATAAGCTACAATATAAACATTCATTTTTTTGTGGAAAAAACCATATACTAGAACCAACTACCAGATGAAGTTGTGCATGCAGATTCTGTAGAGACATTCAAGACCGCTCTATAGGAACACCGCCCATAACAACGGCGCTCTTCCCCATAGTATAAAAGCCTAGATAGGATTCCACAAGTACCAATACAGATACACACACAGATCATTGATGAACATAAAAACATGCAGATATCACCAGAACTGATCAAGTAATATGCATATTATGAGTATTCAAAAGCTTTCAGTGACCATAAGCATTTTAAAACACGACCAACAAACACTCTGTATTTTCCAGGAGAACACATAATCCAGAGTCTTGATTATTAAAAGATTTTATTTCCAGAAAGAGCGAAAAAGCGAAAAAAAAACCAAGTTAATTCAATTACTTTGGCATTACAGAACTATACCAAAACATAACTGACAGAAAAAAATATAAAAACAAACAAAAAATTTACTGGAACACACAATGAGTCATTCGTTATTCAATTAAATTTAAATAAGGTATTAAATCAAATATTTATCAGTAATTAGAGTAAAAATATTCGGTATCTTATATTAATTTTGAAGACAATTTGAGAAGAAATAAAAGTTGTCCATTATTTTTTTATGACTTTTGTTGGTCTTCTTCTTCTTCCTCCTCGTCAAATTCACCTTCTTCTTCTGCTGTTGCATCCTGGTACTGTTGATATTCAGAGACCAAATCGTTCATGTTAGATTCGGCTTCTGTAAACTCCATTTCGTCCATACCCTCGCCAGTGTACCAATGCAGGAAAGCCTTACGACGGAACATAGCGGTAAATTGTTCTGAGATTCTCTTAAAGAGTTCCTGGATGGCAGTGCTGTTTCCAATAAATGTGGCAGACATCTTGAGACCACGTGGTGGAATGTCACAGACGGCTGTCTTGACGTTGTTGGGAATCCATTCAACGAAGTAGCTGCTATTCTTGTTCTGTACGTTCAACATTTGTTCATCAACCTCCTTCATTGACATACGACCACGGAACATACAAGCAACTGTGAGGTATCTGCCGTGACGGGGATCACAAGCTGCCATCATGTTCTTGGCATCAAACATCTGTTGTGTCAGTTCTGGAACAGTTAGAGCTCTGTACTGCTGGCTACCACGTGATGTCAGGGGAGCGAATCCAGGGATGAAAAAATGAAGACGAGGGAATGGAACCATATTTACGGCCAATTTACGGAGATCGGCATTCAACTGACCTGGAAATCGGAGACAAGTTGTGACACCGGACATTGTTGCGGAGACAAGATGGTTAAGATCCCCGTATGTTGGTGTGGTCAGTTTAAGGGTTCTGAAACAGATATCGTATAGAGCCTCGTTGTCGATGCAGTATGTTTCATCTGTGTTTTCTACCAGTTGATGTACGGAGAGTGTGGCATTGTATGGTTCAACGACTGTGTCTGATACCTGAATAGATACATAGATATTATTATTTTCATTTGTCTAGCAGATATAAAGAGTTTTGTTTTTCTTTTTAAAAAATTGCATAGTAGCAGCCATCTTGAGTTTGGATTAACAGCAAAATAACAACACTTGATCAAGATCTTATAAAATGTCTTTGTCTATAGTTCCGTATGATATAGTTTGAAGATAAAATCATTTAGATTTCAAAGTATCACATTTTTTTGTTAAATACAATTAAACATTAAAAAAAATAAATCTGCTATATGTTTAAAATGTTGTTAAACCTCTATTCTTCATATATATTTAAGGAATGACTGTAATATTTTTTCTGTCTATGAAGAAATAACATCAAAAATGTGGTACACACTGAATAACTCGCGTAGCGGGTTATTTTAAAGTGTGCACCACATTTTTTTATGTTATTTCGAATAGACAGAAAAATATTACAGTCATTTCTTATAATTTAATTCTGAATTCCATTTTAAACAGGAGTAAATCATAAAAAAACGTTGATGACGTCAAGGTCACATGACAAAATTAGGTCTATGTGCTGATAAACAAAACAACCTCAGCCAATCGGAAGATGCGTTACATCCAAAATTAAATTATATTTTCATAACGGAGAATAAGATAAATAATATGCAGGTGTATGCTAAAAAACTAACTTTAGGTGATGGAACAACTGAGAATGTGTTCATGATTCTGTCTGGGTATTCTTCACGGATTTTGGAGATAAGGAGTGTTCCCATTCCTGCTCCGGTACCACCGCCAAGTGAATGTGTCAGCTGAAATCCCTGAAGACAATCGCAGCTTTCTGCCTCTTTCCTGACAACATCGAGAACAGAGTCTACAAGTTCAGCACCCTCTGTGTAATGTCCCTTGGCCCAATTGTTTCCTGCACCACTCTGTCCGAAAACAAAGTTGTCTGGTCTAAAAATTTGACCAAATGGTCCAGATCGGACGGAATCCATTGTACCAGGTTCCAAATCAACCAAGACAGCACGTGGTACATACTTTCCCCCTGTTAAAAAAGTGACTTTATGTTAGTTCTTGTATACTAGTATTAGGGAGCAACCATTTAACTTCAAAGAGGGGGTTATGGTTTTTTATCTGAGTCAGAAATTTTTTTAAACACTATAAGGTATGGGGAAAATCTGGATTCAGAATACTTTTTTTTGTCATCTGCTTGACCACAATATTTTTTTTCATCAAATTGGAGATCAGAATATTTTTTTAGGAAAAAAACCATAACCTCACCCCCCTAGTTTTGATCTGACCCTGTAAATCATATTTGATAGGACCTATTCTCCTTCCTTTTATTGGTTTGAATTTGACAATGTGATTATGAAGTCAATTTCTTCAATATGGCGGTAAATTTTATCTTTATACTAGTAATCGATTTGGTAACGTTGATAGTTACTGAAGGCGTTTTACAAAGTTGAGAAATAACAGGCGAAGATGCAGAAATTTCCAAAAGTTGGATTATATATGATACTAAAATGAGGGAAAAGGTGTAGCCAGCCCAGTTTCGTCAATTTTCATGTGATATTGATAATGAGTGTCAATTTCAGGTTTCCAGATATAAACACTTGAAAATAACAATGATGGAACTTCTATTAGATTTGTTTGCATAAGGAAAGATTCAACCAATTCCTAGGTAGGAAAAACTGTGCTCCATGTTTTTACAAACACACAATATGGTGTATTGTGCGGATCTGATAATTATTTTGACTGCGCATGTGCAAAACACATTCTGGGTGTTGGGAAATAGTTTTTTTACACTTAGTCAGCAGTTGGACGTCAGAGCAACCTCGGACTATGTTACGGTATGAAAATTCTCAACAGTAAATATTTACGTTCTTCAAAACTTGTCCCCTCTGTAAAGGTCTTCTTGTAAGTAAAATAGGCAGGCGCGGATTCAGGATTTGAAAAGGGAGGGCCTAGAATGCTAATATTTGAAGTGATACTAACTTTAAAGTCTATGCATTTATTATATAATGTAGCTCCATACGGGGGTGACTTGGCCCCATGTCTCCCTTAAATCCGCATCTGATAGGTAATTCGAAAAGGACTATTACGGGGTCGTTACCTGTAGCTTCATTGTAGTAGACGTTAATTCTTTCTAACTGTAAATCTGAATCTCCATGGTAGGTTCCTGTTGGGTCAATACCGTGCTCATCTGAGATGACCTCCCAAAACTGGAAAATATAATTGCCTATTATCATGATTATACAGAAATATCGTATAAAAGTGAAAAAAAGTAAACATGTCGAGTACAAATTACTCGTTTTATCTGTTTCATACTTTCAGATATACGGACAATTTTTAAAGGAGACAGATAGGAAGGGGGAGTGGTATTCTATGTTAGGTGTCAAATTCGTTTTTTTTTTCAGCATGCCCGTGTTGAATAATCTAGTTTCTTTTGCCAAAGATGAACTGACGAGTGCTGTCCCTTGGCTTGATATCTATATCTAACAGTTTTGAGACATATTTATCAGTCTATTCAATTTGAATAAACTTTTTTCGGTTTAAATACAATTCTTTGATTGTTTATGTTAAATTTAGTCATAACTTTTATTTACCTAGGTTATTTTGTCAATGAGTTGTTGTCTCATTGAAGTATACAACATGCAAGTCTTTCTTTTATTGATTCAAAGTATATGTATTGACAAAAGAATATATTGAAGTGAAATATGCTTGTTTTTATTGATGTATACAACGCCTTAGCAACATGGATGCACAAAAATAATTGAATTGAATGTATGTTTATCCTTTATTATTTATCAAATCCATTCAAGCAAGAATTACGTATATACATTTAAATTTTACTTTTTGAGACTTTGTCAACTTTCGTACATTCATTAACTGTTAATTGTGTTTGAAGGTTGTCACAACAAAGTCATGTATTTCGGTCCATTTAAATTATTATTACAAATTGATATGTATAAAGAAATCATAAAACTACATAGACTTGGGCGCCCGCAAACATGTTTGAATAACCCCGCCTCTTTCTGTATGTGCATGTCCCAAGTTAGGAAGGAGCCTGTTATTCGGTGGTTGTCGTTGGTATCTGTATATCGTATTTGTTTTGTTTTGTACATAAATTATGACGTTAGTTTTCTAGTTTGAATTGTTTCACATTTGTTATGTTGGTGCCTTTTATATGCGGTATTGGTGTTGCACATTATTGAAGGCCGTTTGGTGACCTATAGTTGCTAGCTTCTACGTACTAAAGTCTCTGGTGGAAACATATCATTGGCAATCATGCCACATCCTCATATCAAAATATGTACAGTAAAAGTTGATATTTTGTACGTTTGCCCCGGTGAATATGTTCTAATAATACCGATATAATACGAACAGAATGATTATGTGGGGTGTGCGAGACAGCAAGCAAACGGCACCCCTTTCCTCTCCCCCTCTAAAAAACTTTTTTTTTCTGATTTTCAAAACCCTTTTTGAAGTAGCATAAATATGATTCGTTTTCACTAAAATGTTCTGCGTGAAGTCTTGATCTATGAACGGGTGGGACAATTTCTCGCAGAGGTTCGACCAATGATCTTCTGATCATAATGCTAACCAATTAAAAGATTAAATGTTATAGATATCATATTGATTGAAATGGAATTTCAGTGGCAGATCCAGAATTTTCAAAAGAGGCCATTAGAAAAATAAATGTTTAAAATGGGAGATGGATTAGAATATTAAACCATAAAAATGTGGTTGTCCGAGCCACTTTAGGCCTACCTGATATTTGGACAGTATATTGGGTACTTTCATGACAATTTCCCCCCCCCCCCCCCTGGTATTATTGAGCCCAATATACCTTTTTCTATTGACGTAAAAGACGATCAGATATAGCATCCCAGCAGCAGACTATTTTCATATTACCGACTTTTGACTCCGGACTATATAATTTGTCGACTGGTTACCTTGGACATCATGGTACTCGGTCAAGTAAGAGCAACCGAAATAAGTAAAATCAAACATAATAATCGGTGTAATTTGAGGGGAAAGTTTATTGTTTTCCGATGATTTTGTAGTGAAAAAAAAATGTTAAGCAGGTAATTTTCCCCCAAAATTGTACCGATTGAACGCTTGGTTTTACTTCTTTAGCTTGCTCTTACCTGACTTGGTACCATGATGTCCAAGGTAACCAGTCGACAAATTATATAATCCGGAGTCAAAAGTCGGTAATATGAAAATTGTCTATTTGGTTACGATATAGGATAGAACAAATGTGAACAACTTATACTCGGAGCACCTGAGATACACCCCCCTTTTTTCCCTTTATTTGTTGTGTTGGGTTCTTATATCTCAGTTCATATTTTCTTTGTTCAGTACTAATACTCTGTGGACTGTTTTGTCGTTTCATCTGTTTTCATCTGACCTTGGTGTCGATTGTCTTTGTTTGTTTTTGTTGTTGCTTGTCGATATTGATATATTGATTCTCAGCATATAGCCGTCTGACTATTTCCCAATAAATTACGTAACATAGAAAATCTTCGATTCATACAGTCTAAACGAGTTTCGAAAAGTACAGTTATATATGTTCATTAATAAGATAGTGAATTTAATTGCGATGTTGTATTTATACTCAACGTTAACATGTTAACTTTATTTTGAATTTGGGATTCTTAAATTGTAGATTCATGGATTGAAGATAGGATTTTGAAGATAGAGCTGTAAACTCAATCGAAAATATTTCTTGGTTGATAGTTTTTTTTTTTAATCAATTGAATGCAATTGAATTGATCAATAAAATGGTAAAAAAAAATACTCAACTATTTAATGTCGATGAAATGTAAAAACGCATCAACTGACCTTAGCTCCTATTTGGTTTCCACACTGACCAGCTTGGAGATGTACAATTTCTCTCATTTTAATCTTTGTCTCAGGAACTTGGAACTACCTGGTTTCTTGTTCGACTTTCTCCACGGTTGCTAAAGGATTTTATAATGTTAACGAATTTATATCAAAGAATCGGCGCCGCGTCACTTGTTACAGATGATTTTAATGATGCGCCTCGAAACGCATGTTAATTTAAAATTCATATTCTTTAAAATCTGTTCTGCATCATCTCTTTTGCAAAAAGGGTGGTTATTGATTTTCAAATTAAGTGATGAACAGAGATTTGAAATGGATGCATTCATGAGGATATGGATGGGAGATCCTCAACTTTTGTATTCTTTAAATTTTCTAAGTCATGCAGTTTTCTTTGTCTTTGAAAATAACGTATATTCTGTAAGATTTTCAAGAAAATGATTTTACAATTAAAATTTTCGGTAATAAGATGATTTCTGAGGCCCTCATGGGGGTTCCAAGTAATCAAATAATTACAAATGTTTTGCCAATATAATCACATAATCATTGATTATGTTTTTAAACAAGATAATCAAATAATCAGAAATACAGTCCTAGATTATCAAATAATCATGAAATATTTGGTCTGGTAATCAAATAATCACTAAAAACGGCCAAGTAATCACATAATCAAAAACACCATGAGGAGGCTCATTTCTTTATTCTGTAGATCCTTCATATCTGTAATCAGTATTTTATTACCTTATTCTTTTATTTTCCACAGCTATTCTTTATACTTTTGCACTCTGTTATTCTCTATTATTTATACTTTTGCACCCCATTATTCTCTATTCTTTATACTTTTGCACCCCATTATTCTCTATTCTTTATACTTTTGCACCCCATTATTCTCTATTCTTTATACTTTTGCACCCCATTATTCTCTATTCTTTATACTTTTGCACCCCATTATTCTCTATTCTTTATACTTTTGCACCCCATTATTCTCTATTCTTTATACTTTTGCACTCTGTTATTCTCTATTCTTTATATTGTTTGCTTATTTGTCTCGATTCATTATCTTATTTGGCCATTATTCTCTATTTTGTAAACCCCATCTAGCCCCTCAAGCATGTAATAAAATATAATAATACGCATTGGCAATGATTGCCATGCAGGATTACTCAAACTGCTCTCAAATGATTGGGGGTGAAGCAAGAACAAAGATGATTGGGGTACCCCCTTTTTTCCCTTAAACACACACCTTAGACCGTGTTACAGATGTTTATAATAAAAGTTCTAGATATCATTTTATTTTGCTTGATGATATATCGTGTTCTTTGTCATTCGAGCAAAATCTTTTTGTAGAGTAAATTTGTATGACTTTGTGATGCCCATCAGCGCTTACTTTCCTCGTTTGAATTGTTTCACATGTCTGAGGTCTTTAGTAGATTGCAATGCGGTATGGGTTTTGTTCAGTGTTGAAGGTCTTACGGTGACCTGTAGTTGTATTACATCAACATCAATTAAACTCTGGTAGATACATTGTAGTTGTCTGATTATCGATTTGGCAATCATACCACATCTCCTTAATTTAATAGTGTGCTTCATCGTGAATTTAAGTCAAGACACAATGGGAATCCCGATCCGAAACCGCGGATGGATCCGAATCCTGAGGAGCAATCAATGAAAAGTTTGTAACGGTGGTTAAGTAAAATCTTGATCCGAAACCAAAGAGGAATTGTGCTCCGTGGGAATCGGATCCATATTTAACTTCCACCGCGTTAAAAACTTTTCATTAATTGCTCCTCGGGATTCGGATTCCTCCGCGGATTTCGGATTGGGATACCCCGTGTGCAAAAGCCTTAGAATGAAAAAAAAAATAACACAAACTCGACTTTACACAGATAGTGCATGAGTTTACATCTGCTGATTAATATTTCCAAGGCTGCGTTAGTGTTCACTCAGTGTTGATAATAGAGTGTTGAGTTGTGTTTTAATTACAGTTCAGGTTCATGGATTATATGGAACCCCCCACCCCCTTTTCGATTTCTTTTTTTTTTTTTATTATAATGTGAACGCTTTATTGTGTTTCGGGGACAGGAACCTCCTATCCAAGCTTGCTAGATCCGCGCCTGTGATTGTTGATGAAACACCTGTCCATATACACCAAAGAACAAAAAGAACAAAGATGTGAACACTTACAGGTCACCGCGCAGCCTTCGACAATGACTAAAGCATATACCGTATATTAAGCTAAAACAGTCCAAAAGATGACAAAATGTGAAACAATTCAAAAGAGTTTACCAATGTTATGATTTATACATCAGCAATGAACAAAAAACAAATATGACAGACAGAAATCTACGACAGGCATTGGATTCCATGTTTCTATCTCGGACATATTAGGAATGTGGAGGGGTTTACCATGATTGTGAGCCCTCAAACCACCCCTTACCTTAGACAGTGATAAACCAAACACAAACTGTAAAAATCAGTTGCATTAGATCGACACGATGCACAAGAAACAACCACAAAAAGACAAAAGACACAAATGACCGAACTCGCAGTTACGAAAAGCTAGTTCAAAGTCCAATTTCATCTACTACAGTATAAAAAGTACGTTCTCTCTGACGCATACTCATCAATACTCGGACCGAGTAAGAGATATACATATAAAAAAGAAGATGTGGCATGATTGCCAGAGACAGCTCTTCACAAGCTTAAGAGACCAAATGACACAGAAATCAACAACTATAGATCACCGTACGGCCTTCAACATTGAGCAAAGCCCATTCCGCATAGTCAGCTATAAAAAGCCCCGAAATGAGAAATGTAAAACAATTCAAACGAGAAAACTAACGGCCTAATTTATGTACAAAAAAAATGAACGAAAAACAAATATGTAACACAGCAACAAACGACAACCACTGAATTACAGGCTCCTGACTTGGGACAGGCACATACATACAGAATGTGGTTGGGTTAAACATGTCTGTTTCACAATTTGACAAGTACCCGGCCACGTCCACTCTGTGTTTTTGTTAGATGTATTTCTATTTGTATCCATCTGATGAGTTAAGCTTTTTTCGACTGATTTTTATAGTTCGTTCTTATATTGTACTGTTACACCACTGTCCCAGGTTAATTAGGGGGAGGATTAGGATCCCGGTAACATGCAATATAATTGAAGGCACATAATAAACAACATTAGAGAGCTTAACGTGCCAGACAGCAATAAGCCACAATATAAACATTCATTTTTTTGTGGAAACAACCATATACTAGAACCAACTACCAGATAAAATTGTGCATGCAGATTCTGTATAGGCATTAAAGGTCGCTCTACAGGAACACCGCCCATAACAACGGCGCTCTTCTCTACCGTGTATAAAAGCCTAAATAGGATTCCACACGTACCAATACAGATACAGATACATATGGAACGCCATAGCTGTCTTATGTGTCTTTTTTATTGCTTTTCTATTATACGAAGATGCTTTTCTATTATACGATGGTGGTTTTCTATTATACGAAGGAGGTTTTCTATTATACGAAGGTGCTTTTCTATTATACGAGGGTGGTTTTCTATTATACGAAGGTGCTTTTATATTATACGATGGTGGTTTTCTATTATACGAAGGTGCTTTTCTATTATACGATGGTGGTTTTCTATTATACGAAGGTGCTTTTCTATTATACGATGGTGGTTTTCTATTATACGAAGGTGCTTTTCTATTATACGATGGTGCTTTTGTATTATACGATGGTGCTTTTGTATTATACGAAGGTGCTTTTCTATTATACGATGGTGCTTTTTTATTATAATAAGGTGCTTTTTTATTATGTGATGGTGGTTCCCGTGATTAACCGGAAGTGTGGAGTTTATTTGAAAAAGGGACGGGCCAATTGCTAATGAAATACGAAAAAAAAAAAATCAAGAAAATCAATTAAGTCTTTAAAATGAAATAGTTAGTTCAACATTTTTTAAGTAGATTTTGTACCGCTTAATGGAGTCAAAAAGCGAGACATAGGTATGCTGTTTCCGGCGGCGTCAACAATGTATTAGTTTGTGATTAGGTCTAGTTTATGGTGAAGCCCTAGTGATAAGTTAAAGATATTTGGTATGCAGTTGTATTAGTATTGACATATCTCATTACCATGGAGATTATTGGCCGTGCCCCCTCAGTTATGGTCTATTGACTCTGAAATTATTCCTAAGAATCATGTATTAGTTTGTGATTAGGTCAATTATTGGGGAACCAATAGTGGTAAGTTAATGATACTTGGTAAGGAGTTGTATAAGCATTGGCATATCTTATTTCCATGGAGATTATTTGGCCCGTCCCCTCAGTCATTGTCTATTGACTGAATTTTTTGTTTAGTTTTTATGGAGCCTGCGACTTTTCACAGAAAGCTCGACATATGGATAGTGATCGGGCGGCGTTAGCTAACTTATTAAAAGCTTTATATTTTAGGTGGAAGACCTGGATTGTTCATACTTTGTATATAGATGCTCAATGATACTTAGTTTCCGTCTGTCACATGGCCTATGTTCTTAACCCAATTTTCATGGTTCAGTGACTGCTTGAAAAAAAGTTATGATTTTTTGTAATGTTAATTTCTCTCTTATTATGAGTAATAGGATAACTTTATTTGGTATGTGCGTACCTTGTAAGGTCCTCATGCCAGTCAGACAGTTTTCACTTGACCTCAACCTCATTTCATGGATCAGTGAACAAGGTTAAGTTTTGGTGGTGAAGTCTTTATCACAGATACTTTAAGCAGTAGGTCCAGTATTTTTGGCGTATGGAATGATTGTAAGGTGTACATGTCCATCTGGCAGGTGTCATCTGACCTTGACCTCATTTTCATGGTTCAGTGGTTATAGTTAAGCTTTTGTGTTTTGGTTATTTTTTCTTATACTATAAGCAATAGGTCAACTATATTTAGTGTATGGAATAATTGTAAGGTGTACATGTATTTCTTGTTTGGTTTATATTACCTTGACCTGATTTTTATACTCATGTTTATGTGATAGTTAGGCTTTCTATTTAGGACTATCAACATATTATCAATGTTTAGTAAAGAAGGCGAGACATTTCAGTGTGTGCACTCTTCTCATGTATTAGCTTGTGATTAGGTCAGTTTATGGGGAACCACTAATGGTAAGTTAATGATAATAGGTATGCAGTTGTATACGCATTGGCATATGCCATTTCCATGGAGATTATTTGGCCCCGTCCCTCATTCATGGTCTATTGACTTTGAATTTTTTGCTTAATTTCAATGTATTTGTTTGTGATTAGGTCAGTTTATGGGGAACCACTAGTGGTAAGTTAATGACAATTGATATGCAGTTGTATAAGCATTGGCATATGTCATTTCCATGGAGATTATTTGGCCCCGCCCCTCAGTCATGGTCTATTGACTTAAACTTTTGCTTAGTTTTCATGCATTAGTTTGTGATTAGGTTGGTTTATCGGGAACCACTAGTGGTAGGTCAATGATATTTGGTATGCAGTTGTCATAACATTTGTTCACCTCATTACCACAAAGATTATTTGACCTTGCTCCCTCAGTTATGGTTTATTGACTTTGAAATTTTGCTTAGTTTACATGTATTAGTTTGTGTTTAATTTTGTTTAAAGGGAATTATGATAAGTCAATGGTATTTGGTATTAGCATTGGCACATCTCATTTCCATGGAGATTGTTTAGCCATGTACCTTCAGCCATGGTTCATTGACTTTGAATATTTGCAAAACTTGCATGTTAAAGTGTTGCTATTTTAATTTCAACATATGCATTATAAAAATTACCAATAAGGGAGACATATCTCTATGATAACAGTTTATTTATTTTAGTAAACCTGACTGGAGGAATTTCAGTAGAAAAAAATCTATTTAATTTGAATTTTCTGTGTTTGATATCTTCATACCATGACTCTAAGTTTTAAAAAGGTATCTGGGAGGGGGGGGGGACATGCCCCCAGACCCTCTTAGAAAATTTCTCGCATTTGGCCCTCAACAGTGATACTACTAAAAAAAACTTTTAAATTAGATAAACACCTCTGCGTTATAGATGAGCATCACCACACAAGTTGGAGACTGTTCTTAGTGGGTGAACGGTAGAAGATGCCTTGAAATGAAATTTAGCTCAAGTTCAAGATAGGTGATACTCCTATATAGCCAAATTTAATCACTGGAAAGCATTTTCGCAAATATTAGCATTGATTTCATTACATCAAAAATGGTTTTAACCCAAGTCTAATAGTAAAAATAAGTACATTCAGCTACATACTAGTACCTCGGACAGTTTCGAAAAGTACCTGTTCGCTAAAGCTTGCCGACACATTTTTTTTAAAATCAATGGACTTGTGTACTCCCGCAATACTTGTGACACAGTAAAACCTGTCTAAACCGAACCGATTATAGTTAGTTGAAGTGGAGACATATAAAACAAGAGATTGGAAACTCTGAATATTATACAATAGAAAATTGAAGAGATTTCGGTCTGGAACATTTTATGACAAAATGAAGTTTTCATATTATCATGACAATATTTTGAAACTTACTAAATAACAAAGTATTGAGGGCATGTGTTGATTTTTGATACTTCTTTTACAACTTCTCTGATCGGTATATTTAGATATCTTGTTAAGTTTTTGAAAAATTAAGGAATATTTCTGAAAACTTAACTACTTTCTTTCTCTATATATGACTCTTATACATGTTATATTCTTATCAAAGCATGTGGCTGCGATATTTCTCGAGATTTCACAAAGTTGCTTATCTCTAGTATTATATGTCTCTGGTTCAAGTACTTTTTAATTTGGCAAATTGTAAGACCAATGACTTAATATTCAGGACACAATTAATGATTTTCAGTTCAAACACAAACATTTAAATATTTGTTCATTATCGGCCAAATTCTTTAAATGCATGTAAAAGTCACAGTTACATAAGTTTTCATTTAAAGCATTACCGAAGAATTTCATTTAGCTGAACCATGTAGCCAACCTTTATATATAAAAAATAAAGATAAAACAAGGAATGGCAATAATTCGATATAAAACATCAAAAATAGAGACATACAGCGACAACACAAAAAGGAAAATGTACAGAAGGTAGAGAGAAGTCCCGACTTGGTACAGGCACTCTGTCAAAACTTGGCAAAGTGGTGGGGTTGAACCATGTTTATGGGTACACTAACCTTGCCCCTCAATCTACTCGACTTCCTATCAAGATTCGAAAGACGCGCAGCAAAAAGACTTGCACAATACAATTGCCAACTCAGCGTCCATATAAGTTAGAAAATTTGTTTATAATAAATACTAAAATAGTAAGAGGATATACAGATCTGTACATTGTACATGTACTACCTCTACACAAAATAATACAGTTACATATAACCAATATACCACTGTAAAGCTTGAAGTTGTTGAAAAGTCATGGGGTTTTATAAGATTAAGTATATAAAGAAGTTATGCAGTTATTCATTTACGTTCAAGATATGAAGGAAATTTAGTAAATTACAAATAAGTTTTAATAACCAGTTTAGTTATTTCTTTCAATGACTTCCAAACATTCAAGATAATAATCTATTCCAAAGTTAGTATTGCTTCTTATCAATTGTCGAGTTGAATCTAGCCTGCATTGATCACTTATCATGCGTGCAAGGGGTCCAAATATTAGTCTCTCGCCCTCTTCTACATCATTTTGATCCACATAGCCTTCAATTCCATAATCTTGCAAATTTGCTTCTCCGTCGGTAATTCCTACGGCATTTTGAAGTTGACCTGAAGTCCACAAGCTCAATGGAGATGAATTAACAGTGCGTAGTCTATGACCAGCCCATGCCTCTGCCAAAAATTGAAGCTTCCTGTTTAGTTCGTCCATGAAAACAAAGTGGAGAGCAGCTAAGTTTGTCAGTTTTAGTGGGTCTAGATAACCTTCATCTTCCATGAAATAAAATAAGTTGTAAAAGTAACTAAGCACACCTTCATACACATCTCTCCATAGTCTCTCAATCCGTTGATTATGAGTGCTTTTTCCCGTTACCATACTGTTGGGCCTTTTTGAATCAACATGTAGTTTGCCACAGAAACATTTTCCAATCCTTTGTCAGACCTAACTTTATTGGGTATCCCATACTTTGCATCACCGGAGAAGAAACAATCCAAAACTGTTCTTGATGTGTTGTTGTCGGTACATTTTAAAAATGTTATCAATCGACTAAACCCGTCAATGCCACCTACAATAACAAATCTCCACCGGACAAGTTTATGCTTTGTATCTATGTGCCAGAGGTGATTTGGACCAATTACATTGTAAACACGCCTATTAAGCCTACCAGTACGTCTCGCCTGTACACCGGCGGTATCTAATCGATGCATACACTCCCTAGTCTCCATCTCTGTACTCTTATGCCTTTTAATAGAAGCATCTGTTGCAATAGTGTTTCGCCACACAATGGAAACTCTTTCATTATTTGTCCAAGTGTCAAGTCTAAATCACTGTCATCAATTTGTGTAAAATTCATTTTGCTTAATCCAAACTGTGACATTCTTCGGTAAATGGTGCTTTCAGACACGGACAACAATTTAGAAATGTCGGATATTTTAAATCCATTTTCAAGAACAGACTTTGGAATATCAAATTTCGGAGGGCCGCATTCAGAGTTTATTTTATTAGGGGCAGACGTTCCATATTTTACACATTCAGTTCTTAACTTCATCATATCTGCCCTACTAGATACACCTAATATTTCAATTTCATGTGTCGAAAGCCTACATACAATGTCTGGAGTGATTTTCTCTCTCTCAAAGTTTAGAAATGCTTGCTGCAAGTTTAATTTCTGTAAAACGTTTAACATTTTAGTATTCACAGCCATGGCCGCCATGTTGGTTCGGTGACATTCAAATACACGCCACGCTTCCGGTTAATCACGGAAACCACCATCACATAATAAAAAAGCACCTTATTATAATAAAAAAGCACCATCGTATAATAGAAAAGCACCATCGTATAATAGAAAACCACCTTCGTATAATAGAAAACCACCATCGTATAAAAGAAAAGCACCTTCGTATAATAGAAAACCACCTTCGTATAATAGAAAACCACCATCGTATAATAGAAAAGCACCTTCGTATAATAGAAAACTACCTTCGTATAATAGAAAAGCACCTTCGTATAATAGAAAACCACCATCGTATAATAGAAAAGCACCTTCGTATAATAGAAAAGCACATTCGTATAATAGAAAACCACCATCGTATAATAGAAAAGCACCTTCGTATAATAGAAAAGCAATAAAAAAGACACATAAGACAGCTATGACATTCAAATACACGCCACGCTTCCGGTTAATCACGGAAACCACCATCACATAATAAAAAAGCACCTTATTATAATAAAAAAGCACCATCGTATAATAGAAAAGCACCATCGTATAATAGAAAAGCATCTTCGTATAATAGAAAACCACCTTCGTATAATAGAAAACCACCATCGTATAAAAGAAAAGCACCTTCGTATAATAGAAAACCACCTTCGTATAATAGAAAACCACCATCGTATAATAGAAAAGCACCTTCGTATAATAGAAAACTACCTTCGTATAATAGAAAAGCACCTTCGTATAATAGAAAACCACCATCGTATAATAGAAAAGCACCTTCGTATAATAGAAAAGCACCTTCGTATAATAGAAAACCACCATCGTATAATAGAAAAGCACCTTCGTATAATAGAAAAGCAATAAAAAAGACACATAAGACAGCTATGGCGTTCCATAGATACAGATCATTGATGAACAGAAAAACATGCAGATATCACCAGAACTGATCAAGTCATATGCATATTAGGGAGCTACCATTTGATTTTTATGGGTGGGGGGTGGGGGCTAGGATGAAATTTGCAAAAAAAAGGCAGGACAGGAGTTTTGAGTAAAAAAAAAGGCAGGATGACAATTTATGTCAAAAAAGTCAGGATAAAACTAATAAAAAAAAAATGCAGGACTTTATAGAGTGAAAAATAAAAAGGCAGGACAGAGATTAGTTTACAACTAAAAAAAAATGCAGGACAAAATTTTCCATGAGCATTTTAAAAATGACCAACAAACACTCTGTATTTTCCATGAGCATTTTAAAAATGACCAACAAACACTCTGTATTTTCCAGGAGAACACATAATCCAGAGTCTCGATTATTAAAAGATTTTTTTTCCAGAAAAAGCGAAAAAAAGAAAAAAAAACTTAATTCAATCAGGATTTCAAGATTTGTCAAGATAAAGAGATTGAAAGTAACAATTTAAAGTTCATTGAGATGGAGGAAATGTTTAAGCTTCCTCTTCTCCTTCCTCCTCTTCGAATTCACCTTCTTCTTCTGCTGTTGCATCCTGGTACTGTTGATATTCAGAGACCAAATCGTTCATGTTAGATTCGGCTTCTGTAAACTCCATTTCGTCCATACCCTCGCCAGTGTACCAATGCAAGAAAGCCTTACGACGGAACATAGCTGTGAATTGCTCTGATACTCTAATGAACAATTCCTGGATGGCAGTGCTGTTTCCAACAAATGTGGCGGACATCTTGAGACCACGTGGTGGAATGTCACAGACGGCTGTCTTGACGTTGTTGGGGATCCATTCAACGAAGTAGCTGCTATTCTTGTTCTGTACGTTCAACATTTGTTCATCAACCTCCTTCATGGACATACGGCCACGGAACATACAAGCAACTGTGAGGTATCTGCCGTGACGAGGATCGCAAGCTGCCATCATGTTCTTAGCATCGAACATCTGCTGAGTAAGTTCTGGAACAGTGAGAGCTCTGTACTGCTGACTACCACGTGATGTCAGGGGAGCAAACCCTGGGATGAAGAAATGAAGACGTGGGAATGGTACCATGTTGACGGCCAATTTACGGAGATCGGCATTCAACTGACCTGGAAATCGGAGACAAGTTGTGACACCTGACATTGTTGCGGACACAAGATGGTTAAGATCCCCGTATGTTGGTGTTGTAAGTTTGAGGGTTCTGAAACAGATATCGTATAGAGCCTCATTGTCGATACAGTATGATTCATCTGTGTTTTCTACCAGCTGATGGACTGAGAGTGTGCAATTGTATGGTTCAACGACTGTGTCTGAAACCTGAAAAATAATGGAGTAAACAATATAAATCTTAGTCACAGTCATTTTGGTACTAACTTGTGAACATAAGATTAAAGCATCTTTTTTTAAATATATCATGTTCTAACAGTGCTTGAAAAAAATATACTAATAACGGTCAAATTAAGCGAATTTTAATAGGCTTTTTGATAGCATGAATAGTAAGATCTATGATTTCATGTTAATTGATAACATATACAAGAACTCAGTGATAGTGTGATTGACATGCAATTACCCAGTTCAGACAATTTATTATTATTCATTGTGAGAGCAAAATGCAATTTCGATAATGTGAATATCGCAGCAAACAAAAATATGAAACAAATTAAACAAAACAAACATATACGCACTATATGTATAATTAATTGACCTGAAGAATATATTTTTCTTAAAACTGCTACAATTTTTATACATAATTTTATTTCAAATTTTCAAACGGTTTAATTATATATCGGTTTTAAATTTTAAGGAAAAACGAATTTGTATTTTTTAATATATGAAAACTTACTTTTGGTGATGGTACAACTGAAAATGTGAGCATGATTCTGTCTGGGTATTCCTCCCTGATTTTGGAGATGAGCAGTGTTCCCAATCCTGCTCCGGTTCCACCGCCAAGTGAATGTGTCAGCTGAAAACCCTGAAGACAATCACAGCTTTCAGCCTCCTTCCTGACTACATCAAGAACAGATTCTACAAGTTCAGCACCTTCTGTGTAATGTCCCTTGGCCCAGTTGTTTCCTGCACCACTCTGTCCGAAAACAAAGTTGTCTGGTCTATAAATTTGACCAAATGGTCAAGATCGGACAGAATCCATGGTACCGGGCTCCAAATCAACCAAGACAGCACGTGGCACATACTTTCCACCTGTTTAAAAAGTTACTTGATGTTAGTTCTTGTATACTAGTATACTGTATTTGTTTGCATTTAAATCCCTATTAGTTTAGTTTGTACCTCTGACCCTTTAGTTCATAGTTGATATGTCTTATTACCCTTCGCATTATTGGTTTGCATTTGATTATTATTTTAAGGTGGTAGCAATCACCTTGACTAAAATTAATTTGGCTCGTTTAATTTTCATAAAATTTTGAAAAAAAATATTAACTTTGACCCTTTGAAAAAATATAATAATTTCAAAAAACTTGAACCACACACTTTATTGGAAACATTTCGATGGATATATAGCACTAATTTTGATCATTGAGAAGCTTAATATTTCCTTAACAATAGACCGTAATTAAAACGTTCAGCTGATTTTTACAGAGTTGTCTCCCTGTAGTGTTATGTACCACCTTAAGTACAATGTGACGTTCACAGATCCAGAAATTTTCAAAAGTACGATTAATATTGAAGTGAGGGATGGGGAGGTGGGACAATGGTATATTCCAGCCTAGTTTCGTCAATTTTGATGTAATATGGATAATCAGGGTTATCGCTATTTTACGAAATTTTCCTTTGATCTTACTGACTGATAATTTCCTTTCTCAGCACAGCCGTACCGGCTCAAGCGAGAAAATCAATCTCGTTGAGATGACCAACGATAATCTATAATTATTTCAGATTACCAGATATGACACTTGAAAATAACAATGATGGAACTTAATTCTATTAGATTTGTTTGCAACTATAGGAAAAACTGTACTTCATGTCTTCATAAAGCAATAACAGGGTGTATTGTGCAGATCTGTTGATTATTATACGCCACGTAACAAAGTTGCGGAGGGTATAATGTTTTTGACCCGTCCATCCGTCCGTCAGTCCTGTTCTTGTTATCGCTAATATTCTGAAACCGCACAACAGAATTTCATGAAATTGTGTATATAATAAGGACATACTATGCAGATGTGCATATCGTAGCAAATTACGATTCAAATTTTTTTCTAGGCGTTATGCCCCTTTAACTTAGAATTTTGTCCAAAATATACTATGTCATCGCAACTTCTCTGAAACCACACAACAGAATTTCATGAAACTTTGTAGATAATAAGGACATATTATGCAGATGTGCATATCGACAGGAAATAACGATTCAATTTTTTTTTCTAGGAGTTATGCCCCTTTAACTTAGAATTTTGGCCAAAATATACTTTGTCATCGCAACTCTTCTGAAACCACACAACAGAATTTCATGAAACTTTGTAGATAATAAGGACATACTATGTAGATTTGCATATCGACAGGAAATTACGATTCAATTTTTTGTAGGAGTTATGCCTCTTTAATATGCCCCTTTGAACTTAGAAATTTGGCCTAAATATACTACTGCAACAGTTTGTAATCGTAACTCCTCTGAAACCACACAAGATAATTTCATGAAACTTTGTAGTTAATGAGGACATAATATGTAAATGTGCATATCCACAAGAAAATTTTTATCAGTTGACTTTTGTAGAGTAATGAGTCTTTGAACTTAGGAATCTGGTGATATTTTGTTTGTCCAGTGACAATGTGGGGTCGTGAAATGTGAGTGTGCTCACAAAAGGTCTTTAATTTTGACTGCGCGAGTGCACAACACATCGATGGTTAACCGGGGCATTGCGAAATTGCAGGGTACGGTTCAAAAATTCTCAACAGATAAAAGCACATCAAAACATGACGCTTCCATAAAAGTCTAATTGAAAGTAAATTGAAGGTAATTTGAAAAAAAACTATAACGGTTCGTTACCTGTAGCTTCATTGTAGTATACGTTGATTCTTTCTAATTGTAAATCTGAATCTCCATGTAGGTTCCTGTAGGTTCGATACCGTGCTCGTCTGAGATAACTTCCCAAAACTGAAATTAAAATTGACTGTAACATTGAAATATCGTACAATTGATAGTGAAAAAAGTAAGCATGTCGAGTACAAATAACTCGTTTTATCTGTTTCATACTTTCATACACAGACAATTTTTCGATGGAGGTAGGTAGAAGGGGAAGTGATATTCTATCTTGGGTGTACAATTTGTTTTCAGTATCTATCCGTGTTACATGTAAAGATACTTGTTTATATCGCTAAAGGTGCAGTTCAATTAAGTGAATTTTACGACATTCTTATGCGTTAAAGATATTTCGGTTTTCGGTTTAAATATACGATTCTTTGATTGTTTATGTTAAATTAAGTCATAACTTTTATATACAAGTCTAGGTCATTTTGTCATTGAGTTGTTTGTTGACTAAACGACGTACACGACATACACATCTTCCTTTTATTCATGAATTCTTGAAAAAAATCCAAAGTATACGTATTAACAAAAGCATATAAGAAATGCAATGTATATTATTTAAGTATTAACAAAAGAATATATTGCAGTGAAATATTCTCGATTTATTGATGTATATAACTCCTTAGCAACATGGATGCACAATACTAATACTATTGCATACGTATATCGTTTATTATTTATCAAATTCATTCAAGCAAGAATTACATTTAAATTTTACTTTTTGAGACTTTGTAAAATTTTGTACAATTCATTAACTGTTAACTGTATTTGAAGGTTGTCACAACACAACAAAGTGATGCATTTTGGTTCATTTAAATTATTATAAAATAACACATTGATATGTATAAATAAAGATCGAAATCATAAAATTGTATAGACTTGGGCGCCCGCAAACAAGTTTTAGATAACCCCCGCCATTTTCTGTATGTTCATTTCCCAAGTCAGAATTCTTTAATACAGTGGTTGTCGTTGGTTGCTTAATCTCGTATTTGTTTTTCTTTTTATCGTTTTTTAACATAAATCATGACGTTAGTTTTCTTGTTTAATTTTATATTTGTTATGTCGGTGTCTTTTATAGCGTGGTATGCAGTCAGGGGCGGATTCAGGCGGGGGCGTGGCGGGCGAGCGCCCCCCTAAAATTTGCAAAGCATGGGTTGTTCTCTGCTTAATAAAGAATATTTCGATAATTTTACCTAAAAAAAAATAAAATTTAAGTTTGCGCCCCCCCCCCCCCCCCCCTACCTAAAATCCTGGATCCGCCCCTGGCAGCAATGGTTTGCTCATTGTTGAAGGCCATACGGTGACCCATAGTTACTAGCTTCTATGTAATGTCTCTGCTGGAAACATCTCATTTCCAATCATGCCACATGCCCTTATTTTCATATCAAAATATGTACAGTAAAGTTGAGATTTTAGGCGTTTGCCATGGTGAATATGTTCTCTAATAATGCAGACAAAATACGAACAACAGAATGTGTTGTGTATATGTCAACGAGACAGAAAGCAAACGACCCCCCCCCCCCTTTTTCTCCCAAAAAACACTGGGTTTTTTCACACCCTTTTTGAAGTCGCCTTCAATTGATTCGTTTTCACTAAAATGTTCCACATGAAGTCTTGGAATATAAGCAGACACAAAAATTTCTCGCAGAAGTTCGATCAATGGTTTTCTGATAATGCGAACTATGCAAACAAAAGTTTTCATATATGGCTTTCATATTTATTAAAGAGAAATGCTAGTTGCGTATCCAGAATTTTCAAACGATGCCCTTTAAAAATAAAATTCTAAAATGGGAGGTTGATTAGAAAATGAGGCCATACAATTGGGTTGTCTGTGCCACCTTAGGACTACTTGGATCCACCCCTAGTAATCGTACATTGTACATTGAACGTATCTGTAGAGAGAGGGAGGGAGTGCAATTCTTAAATGAGTGCTCGCCTGCTCGGTAGCTTAAAGTCGGTGAATTTGGACAGTGTATTGGGTACTTTCATACATTTGTTCTGTTAGTATTCAGTCCAATGAACCTTTCTCTATTGGCGTAAGGAACGAGGAAATATAGTATCGAGTCATATGCATCGTAATTTGGTTACGGTATAGGGTGAGCGAATGTGAACAACTTATAAGTTCGGATCACCCGCGTTGAACCACGACCACTTACTTTTTTCCCATTTATTTGTTATTGTTGGGTTTTTGTATCTCAGTTTTTTTTAATTTTCTGTTTAGTACTGGTATTTTGTGGGCTGTTGTTTGTCTTTTATCGGTCTTCTTCTGGCTCTTTTTTTTTTTTTTTTGCTTGTCCATAATGATATATTGATTGTCAGCGTATAGCCGTCTGACTATTTTCCAATAAATTACGTAACATATAGAAACTCTTTTAATTTTTACAGTCTAAACGAGTTTCTAAAAGTGCAGTTCTATATATGTGCATTAATCAGACAGTGCATATACGATCATAAACGATGTTGTATTTATGCTCAATGTTAACATGGTAACTTTTTTGAATGTGTGATTCTTAAATTGTAGATTCATGGATTGAAGACAGGAATTTAAAGCTGGAAAGCTGTCAACTCATTCGAAATTATTTCTTAGTTGACAGGGTTTTTCTTTCGAAAATCAATTGAATCCAATTGAAATGGTCAATAAATTACCAAAAAAAAATATTCAACTATTTGATATGTAAATAAAATGTAAAAACGCATCAACTGCATGACCTTAGCTCCTATTTGGTTTCCGCACTGACCAGCTTGGAGATGTACAATTTCCCTCATTTTTATCTTTTTCTCAGGAACTTGGTACTACTGGGTTTCTTGTTCAACTTTCTCCGCCGTTGCTATAGGATTATATAATGTCAACGAATTTATATAATCGGTGCCGCGTCACTTGTTACAGATGATTTTAATGATGCGCTTCGAAACGCATGTTAATTTAAATTTCATACTACTTTTTGTACAACTTCAGACCGGATTTTACCCATTTAATCTTTAAAAAATCTAAAATGTACGACGGTTCAAACATTTTAATTCTCATGAGAAATATTTTTTTATCGATGAAAGTCAGATGTCCGGTGATGATATGCGATAATGAAATGTTCCTTTTTTTATAATTCTCATACGAAAAAAAATACTGATTTCATTTTGGGCTTGCCTTTTTATGTCATAATAATTGATTCTACAATTCAAAATATTATGAATTTGTTATCTATGAAGGACGAACAAGTTAGTGAAAATGAACACCTTATTTAACAATGCCCCACAAATCATTATAAAACAACATATGTTTATATCACGAATATTCGATTCTGAAGTCTTCAAATTCGTCACTCGATTTTTTTTCAGAAAACTAAAATCCACGAATTTAAGAACCCACGAACATGTAACTTTTGTTGAAACCACGAAAATTGATACCCACGAATAAAAATACTTTCACAGTATAGAATATCTGTTCTGCATCATCTCTTTTGCAAAAAGGGTGGTAATTGATGAGAACACATGCGTAGGTGATTGGTGTATACCCCCTTTTATTTCTTAAAATTACACACTATGAATCGTGTTACAGATGTTTTTAATAAAAGTTCTTGATATCATTTTATTTTGCTTGATGATATATCGTGTTCTTAGTCATTCGAGCAAAATCTTTTTGTAGAGAAAATATTTATGTAAGGCCATCGGCGCTTACTTTTCTCGCTTGAATTGTTTCACATGTCTGAGGTCCTTGATAGATTGCAATGCGGTATGTGTTTTGTTCATTGTTGAAGGTCTTACGGTTACCTGTAGTTGATTACATCCACATCATTTTAACTCTGGTAGATAAATTGTAGTTGTCTCATTACCGATTTGGCAATCATACCACAGTCTCCTTAATTTAATATTGTGCTTTATTGTAAATTTACTATATAGTCAAGACACAACGGGAATCCCGACCCGAAACCGCGGAGGGATCCGAATCCCGAGGAGCAACTAATGAAAAGTTTGTAACGGTGGGTAGGTAAAATCTTGATCCGATTACCAGGGAGGAATTATGCTCCGTGGGTATGATCGGATCCAAATTTTACTTCCCACTGTTAAAAACTTTTAATTAATTCCTTCGCGGGATTCGAATTCCTACGCGGATTTCGGCTCGGGATAACTGGTGTGCAAAAGCCGTTCAATCATGCTGATTGCAGTTTCCTTCTATTAATTATGGTTTTCAAGATAATTGCCAAAAAACAAAAACAACAAAAAAATGTCATTCAATGAAAATCAGTCCTTTCATTAGTCGATTGTTGATCATGTAGATTTTTTTTGTTGTTTACAATTTTCTTTGTTTCTTCTACAGTTTTTGCCCACATCACACTCATGGGTAAAATAGTGAATTTTCCTCAGCTCATCATTTTCGCTGCTTCCGGTGTTCCTCTCCCTGTTAAAATTTTCAAGATTATAGCCAAAAATGCAAATGTGGGTTAAAGTCATAATTTAAGGGCAATAACTCCTATAAGGAGTCAACTTATGATTTCGGCCAATAAGCTTATTAGTAAGTGTTGTCTGGTTGATTTGTTTCAGTTGTTTGCAATATCTCTCTATCGACAATGGTTTTCGCTAAAGAAAAAAGCCCCCCCCCCCGAAAAAAAACTGTCGAAAATCGACATTGAAGGGCAAGAACTATAAGGAGTACCCCTGAAGATTTCGGCTATATTTACTTATTAATAGATCTTGTCGAGATCATAATAGAACTTTTTGTCTTTCTTCTATAGTTTTCAAGATAATACCCAAAAAGATGCCAAATTTGATAAAGAAAAAATATTTCAGGGACAATTACAAACAAACAAAACTAGCGGTTCTAAAGAGCCTGTGTCGCTCACCTTGGTCTATGTGCATATCAAACAAAGGACACTCTCCAACATTGTAGACGTGAATAGACCATGACAAAAATCTCTATTTTGTTGATCTTGTATTACTGAACTTTTAGTCTGTTTAATTTCTCTCTATCTTCTTTAGTTTTTGTTAAAAACAAAAAATGGGGGGAGGGGGATCCTCATTTGAGGACAAACACTCCTATGAAGAGTTACATTTTACTCACTATATCGGCAAAATTTGACTTTTTAATAGATCTTGTCTTGCTGATCATTTTTGTGATTTAAAGTGTTCATTCATCTATTATAATTTAAATCATATAAGGCATAACGGAAAAAAAATGTTTCTCTATGAATATCATAGTTTTCATGACAATAGGCAAAAATGAAAAAAAAAAATGGTAAAATTTGTCATTTACGGGCAATAACTCCTATAAGAACTTGTCTAACAGTTTTGACGTATACGGGCAATTGGTAGAGCTCATTATTCTGAACATTTTTGCTTCTTACAGATTTTCTCTATTTATAACGGTTCAACAAATAATAGACAAAACTTGCATTTTACCCCCATGTATTATTTTAAGCCATGTCGTCCATGTTGCTTGGTAAGCGGGGTCATCAGACACATTTTTTAAACTAGATACCCTAATGATGATTGTGGTCAAGTTTGGTTAAATTTGACTCAGTAGTTTCAGAGGAGAAGATTTATGTAAAACATTACAAAAATTAACAAAAAATTATTAAAAGTTGACCATAAAATGCAATAACTCCTTAAGGGGTCAATTGACCATTTTGGTAATGTTGACTTATTTGTAGATCTTACTTTGTTGAACATTATTGCTGTTCACAGTTTATCTCTATCTAATTTATATTATTCAAGATAATTACCAAAAACTGAAATATTTCCTTAAAATTACCAATTCAAGGGCAGCAACCCAACTATCGGTTGTCTGATTTGTCTGAAAATTTCAGGGCAGATAGATCTTAACCTGATGAACATTTTTACCCTGTTAGAGTTGCTCTAAATGCTTTTACCCTCATGTTCTATTTTTAGCCACGGCGGTCATCTTGGTTGATGGGCGTGGTCATCGGATAATTCTTTTAAACTAGATACCCTAAGGATGATTTAGGCCAAGTTTGGTTTAACTTGACCCAGTAGTTACAGAGGAGAAGATTTTTGTAAAAGATTACAAAAATTTACGAAAAATTATGAACAATTGACTTTAAAGGGCAATAACTCTTTATGGGGTCAATTGACAATTTTAGTCGTGTTTGACTTATTTGTAGATCTTAATTTCCTGAACAATTTTGCAGTTTACAGTTTATCTCTATCTATTATAATATTCAAGATAATAACAAAAAACTGCAAAATGTCCTTAAAATGACCAATTCAGGGGCAGGAACCCAACAACAGGTTGTCTGATGCGTCTGAAAATTTCAGGGTAGATAGATTTTGACCTGATGAACAAGTCAGATTTGCTCTAAATGCTTTAGTTTCAGAGATATAAGCCAAAAACTCGTTTTACCCCCCATGTTCTATTTGTAGCCACGGCGGCCATCTTGGTTATCGGATACATTTTTTAAACTAGATACCATAAGGATGATATAGGCCAAGTTTGGTTTAATTTGGCCCGGTAGTTTCAGAGGAGAAGATTTTGTAAAAGTTAACGGACGACGACGACGACGTACGGACGACGTTCGCCAAGTGATGAAAAAAGCTCACTTGGCCCTTTTGGGCCAGGTGAGCTAAAAACTGTCTGTTTTGCTGTAACTGCTTTTAACTAGTTTTTGTAAAATACGTCAGAAACTTCTATTTTCTTCATGTCCTATTTATAGTAACAGATAATCTTTCAGACTGACATGTAAACCTTACATTTATTCCAAACACCAATTATAATACTCATGATAATTTACTTATTACTTATGGGTAGCTGTGAAACGTACCAAACCACGATAATTTAACGTTGACCAATGAACCACAAAAATGAGGTAATGGTCATCTGAACCCTGCCAGACGGAAATGTTACACCTTACAATCGTTCCAAACACCAACTATGGTTGCGGTATTAGTTATGAGTAACTGTGAAACGGACCAAACCATGGAAACTCCACGCAGACCAATGAACTCGAGGGAAAGGTCAATGAACCATGCCACACCTTACAATCGTTCCATACACCAACTATCGTAGACTTATTATTTATGAGTAACTGTGAAACGGACCAAACCATGAAAACTTCACGTACACCAATGAACACGAGGGAAAGGTCATCTGAACCATGCTAGACGAACATGTACATTTTAAAATAATTTCATTCATCAAATAGTTGCTTATTGCGTATATATAAATATGCATGAGAAACGGACAGTATCACGTAACTTAACATTGACCACTGAGGACATGAGATCAATATTAGATGAAACCTGTCAGACGGCATACACCCAAGATAGTTTATCTTTTGGCTATAGCATCTAAAATACAGACTTGATCACGAAAACTTAAGGTTGTTCGCTACTCTTGTTTTTGAATTTTTGTCAGATATTCGGAATCCTCTAGTTTTATCCATGTAGTACCAATGAAAAAAAAATCCCACTAACCCTTACTTTTCTGTTCATATTTTTATTACATATAGTTAAACTAGTCATTTATGAAAGTCTTATAAAATCCTTGCTATTTTTTCTTAGTGTTCGAAAGAAATCAAAGTGCTTGATAGCACCTCTGGGAAGTTTGCAACTGTAGATGTTTATTATTTCAAATAGGTTATAGATGTGTATTATTTCAAATATGTATTTAATCACAGCTTTGATGTTTTTAACTAAACCATTTTCTTTTTAGCAATTATCAAAAATCACTTTTTTTCATATGTTTGTCATATAAAATTTTGATATTTTCTATTGCAATCTTAAACTGTTGTTCTAAAATAATTAAATACACAATAAGCTCTGTTAATTTCTTTATATCCCCATGCCATACCTAGGAACTGTGATTTTATAGAAT